ATTACAAACTTGCGTAAACGCATTTTACGATCAGAAATCAGATTAAAACGAAAAATCTAAATACAAAGAAAAGGGGTGAAGAGAAAATTCACGGTACCTTACGAACAGGATGCTAGGGGTGCATATATTATGCGTGGCCACAGGACAAACGTTATGGACCACGTAGCACAGGCTGATGTCCCGATTTTGACTGTATAATTTATGTGCGGATGAAAGCTTTACAAATGTACTGCAATGAATCGATTTTATCTTTACAGCAGTTTTCCTTTAGGTAGTCGCTCAGTCAGAAATGGACGGTTAGAATCAACATAGATATTAGGCTAATTTAAATATTTTCAATGACACAAATGCAGTATAGAACTACAGAACATTAGCATGTTCCTGTGTGCGCATACGCATGCACTCAAAAGCAATGTTTTGAAGTGGTTTCTGTAATGGGAAGTTATTGACCATTTATTTTGACTGGCCTATCAGTCTGGAGTCTGGTCTGGTCAGTTGGTGGTAAGTTCTGACTTACCACCAACTGACCAGACCGATACAATCGAAATCTAATCGAAACGATTTCCATCGCTTCGATTCGATTTCTGACAAATATAATCGTGTAATGAGTACGTCATTTCTTTTGTGTCTAGACGTATTTTTTATATGTATATTTCATTTTCCAAGTAACGACGAATTTAAAAGGACAACTACAAACTCAATTTGACGGTGGGCAGGTTAGAAAAAAGTAGAAACAAAACGATAAATCATAAATTAAGTTATTTACGAATCATTATAATAAATAACAAAGTTATAAATATTATCTAGTGTTATATAATTTAGGTAGTATCCAAATTTATAATAATAGGTATAATTAAAATAAGTACACAAGTTCTATTATTATCTATTCATCACTACAAAGCTATGACATCCTACATGGACTTTGGAATATAGCTGTGTTACAGTTTACATTGCAATCATCTGTTTCAGATAAATAAAATTAATGAGTAATTTTTTTAGATTTTTTTCGTCCGGGGTAAGAAGCGCCCTGTATTTCGTAAGGTATGGGACCTTACGAAATACAGGGCGCTGCAATAGCATACTTTTAATTCATTTTGTTTTTCTGTCAAACCTTAAAATCAAAGGAATGTTTTAAACATAATTACAAAAAAAAACAACTAGACAAAGTGTAGATTACTTATATTTTGAAGCAATACGTTTTTTTTTTCATTTATGGTTTTCATTCATTTTCTTCCTAGATGAGTTTCATAAAGGAATCTTTAATATAAAAAATAGCAAATCGTCTTATCCATCGATGTTATAAATGACAAAAGCAACTGACAGTTCTCACTTTACCTTGGACTCTTAGATCTTTACAATTGTCGAGATCAATAAAAATAGGTTTTTACAACACGTCACTAAAAATGTTATATTTAAAACCCTGTTCTAGGAGTCAAAATAAAAAGATTTTCAAATTTAAAATAAGACGATAATTTAATTTTATTATTCTGAAACAGACATTAATGTACAACAATAATATGTTAAATTATAAATTTAAATTGCTTACCATACTGAGTTAGTTTTCAATTTTGCTGTTTTAATTTTGTAGTTATTATTCATCTAGTTCAACACAAGTGTAATGTATATACAGTAGGTTTAAACTAGGAGAGTCAAAGAAAATAATCAGTATTCACGTAAATATTTTACAAGAAATCGAAAATTTAATAATCTTAATAATAATTGGCTAGTTTACTATAATTGAATATTAATTTATGTTATCAAAATAAATTACGGTTAGTCGTACTATAAACAAGAATTAAATCAGTACAAAATATATCAGACAGTATTTTTAAATAAAGTTACAAATTATGGGAGAGGAAGTTTTTTATGAATTTCTGTCCTGTCGAAGAACAGGATACACTACCTCCAGACGCATAAATATATATGCAACATACGAGTACATACATAACACTAAAAAATGTTTGCAAAAATATTAATTTCCACAAATCATTATTGTAATAGATTTTGTTTCAATTTAAAATAGTGTGTACACCTAGCAATATTAGTAATACCATCAACTAATAATAATAATAATAAAAATGTGAAAGTATTCTCAAAAATGTAAAACTCGATGAGTATTACAAAACTTGTGTAAAGAAGGAAGAAATGTATTTATTAATACTACGTTCTATGAGTACATTAAAATGTAATTCTACGGTAGTTTGAATGTATTAAAATATCTTTACCAAACCTATACATTCATTTAGTCATTGTATCATTATTTTCTTTCATTATAATATTTACAGCAAATTAAAATGTCCTCAGTTTAGTTAGAGATATATATTTAGACTATATTGTCTCAATATTATTAACCGCAGTATTGTGCAGATATGATGCAATCCACATATTGGCCTAAATTAAGCTACTTAGGCCATATATGTGGAGGAACGAATGTTATGTCCCTAGAAAACAAAGGAGGATCATAAAGCAAGCTGGCCTGGTCTGCCGGCTAACGATTGCTGTTGAAAGCTTGTATATTTATTAATAAACAGGGAGAACCTCGATCGATCTGGCTTTGTTAAATGACATCGAGGTATGTTGTTAATCTTATACAAAGCTTTTCAAACAGATGAATGAATATTTTTTCTTCAAAAAGGTTTTGGATTACATCATTTCTGCGCAACATAAATTCGCCGTGATGCGATACTCAATTATTAATAATTAATTATTTAAATACATTTACATTGCAAACTAAATAAATCTCACTGTAGGTACACAAGTACAATTTATACTTTAACTTATATCGGTGATCACATTCGTCCTTAAAAAAAAGTTTATCCTAAAAAGTGAATGTGATTGAAAAGAGAACATGTTGTTTTGAGAAAGACGATGAAAACGTTTCAAGAAGAGAGTAATAATTCAAGAGAAGCATCTGGCAGAGATTAAAAACAGAAGAGGAAAAATAATACATTAATCAAACATCTTTAGATAATATAATTATTATTGGACGTCATGAATTAGTAAATCTTTTAACATAATCAAAAACTATTTAGGATAGATTGGAAGGTTTTCAGTATTATAATCGAAGTCAGTTAATCGCAAACTCATTATTTTCCGATTTCCCAGTAGTCAAAGTGCAAAGCTGTTATAATATTTTCAAGAACACAGACAATACTTACTAAACTAAAACGGTAATAATAGAAGGTCTGGTGAAGTAAGACAGGAGAATATAGTTTATAATTTAACAGCTGTGATGTTCAGTAGCGGAAACAAACCTAAATCAAAAGCCAATATTTACAAAAAAAAATTAAACTAACCATAAATAAATATTTTAAACCTTTTTCTTCAGTCTTTTACTGATAGGGGGAGCCGAAATAATATAAATACATCCATAAAGTATTTCAAATACTAAAAAAATTACATAATTCTTACATTTATAGCCTAAACCTGGCACTTTATAAGCGTATCATGGGAATACAACATTTCGGGTTCCGTTGATTAAAATTTTATTGTGATTTATTTAGTAAGATATCTTTTAAAAACGCTCAACAAAATCTTCAGGAAACCCAAACTGTGTGTAATAGGGTCGCGATAGTTCATCCACTGCGACTCTCTAAATGGATGCTAATTATAGACTAGAATTGTATCTAATATTGATGAAGTTCGTATTCAGACAAAGATATAAAAACCGTAATTACATCAAAATAATTAATTAATTAAAAATGTAAATGGTTTAATTAGAATTCTACCCACCACCGAATAAATATAAAAATCACATTTTTGTTACGATAAAGCGTTCTCTTGTTACAAGTGTCATAAAGCATGGAATTGTAGTTATTCCATGGTTTATATTACCTATAATTACATTTCAAATAATGACAGAAAAATAAACAGGCAAAATTTAATATCCCGATTACATGTTATCATCACATGCTTTAAAAACTCAAAATTCAAAAGCAGTTGCATAAGTTAACCCCGCTGCGATGAAGTCTTTAGTGCAATTATCGGAATAAATATAAGTTTTACAATGCTTCCATACATTAATTTAGGTATCATTAAAAGTTGTATACAATTAAAAGCACAAAAATGTAAAGGCCAATGTGATGTGTGAATACTCTATATTTTTAAATGTGATTTCGAGTTACTCAACTTGGATATTAAAATTACCTGCTTAACCTCGACTGACAAGTTAGTTACACTTTAAAACATGGCACTAGTTACCGGTTGCTATTTAAATATACATATATTTATTATATAAATGGCACCAGAAAATTGTAAAATTGTTAGATTATATAATCTATCAAAAGCGATTGTAAACTGTCGAAAAATTGTGAAACGAAAATGAACCGCTCGCCCCGACACGGATGGATTAGGTTAGGAGGTTCGTGGCAAAAATTTTAGGTCTACCCAGGTTTCTTTATCCAATTATATTAATTTTATGTCTCAGAGAAAGAGGATCAAAAAATCATAATTTGACGGCTTCTCTTCAGTTGATTAAAATCTACCCAAAATTAACGCGTTAAATTTTAAACAGTATGTTCCCGTTCACAATCTTTCGAGAGTTTGTAATATAACAGAATTTACAATTTTACAGTGACATGTACACTAGAGTACACACACAGAGTGCTATTGAGATATTCTTATAAGGTCTTCTTCTGAACAATAACTTTAATCTTAAAAGCATTTGCACAGCTAGGGTTTTTTTATTTAATTAAGATAAAACCACCTCAACGCAAAAGTTTGCGGTGGGTATTAGAAGCTTTTGAATGCCGTGTGTCTTTGTGAACGTAAAGTCGAGGATAATAAAATATTTTAACTGGAGTTGATATTACAGAATCAATATTCTATTCATCATTCATCAATACTACACTGAATAAATAAAGCTACACAGTCGTAAAGATAATAAGAAAATCTTCAGACAGCGGTCAGATTTAAATAAAGAACATTTACTTCCTAGTGATGCCCATTTCTATGAGATAAGAAGATTAAGAAACAGGATCATGGAGAAACCACTACAAAGTCTAAGAATTTGAACAGCAGCGGCGGATAACGAAGTCAGAATCGTCGAAATCCATCTTCCTTTTAACTGACTGACGAATAACTCGCTGTTCTATGTTGTTGTTCCTCGATCTCATGACTGGTACTGTGTTGTTGCGCACATGGAGTGGCGTGTTCTCATTATTGTATTGCATACCAGTAATATCATCATCTTTTGTACCATCTAAACTTTTTACACTTTCACTCTTCCGACTCCCTATCCAAATACCATCACTCGTTTCATGCCATACGTAGGGTCCATTCAAAGCTACTTCGTTACTAAAATCAAAACCCCACTTTTTGGATTTCTCCTTTTTTTCTATTTCTATTGATTCTCGGAGTTTGTTTTCAAAGTTGTCTACTCTAGTCTCATCTTCAATATCATCTCCGAATATCAGCCGTCTTCGGACTGGGTTGTTGGGTGATATACGACGCATTCTTCTTTGGTGTACTGAGGTAGTCTGAAACAATAAAAATATATTGTTAAATACATATTTGTTTTGACCACGCTTTAAGGGGGATTTGCCTAGCTGGGTATACCACTCCAACTTACAAAAGAATCGATGGAACCAAAATGACTACGTTTTGTATCCCAATAAACTACTAGTGCCAAGGGTTGGAAGTTACTTATGTTCTTTTTTGTCCCTAAAAGGACTAAGTTCGGCTCTTAGGACGCGTTTTATAAAGTTGGAGTAAGTTCACGCAGGGTACTTAAGTATCGATAGCCTGATTGCGGCTATCGTGCGGAGCGAGAGTGCGTGGAACTCTGTCGTCTCCTTCTGCGAGCAAGTTATGCTCGCGAAGGAGACGGCGGAGCGGGACCGATAGAGGTTTAGAACTCTCCCGGCCCGCCAGGCTCAGGAACGGGCTAGGTACCGCAGGCGACTCAGGCGCCGGAGGTCGCAGAACGATCTCCGTCCTCCATAAGCAAAGGCCTGGGGGTGACAGGTTAGGCCATCTGTCACCCTAGCAGAAGCAGGCCGGGGTGGCGGCGAGCGCGTTGGGCAGCGCGCTCGCTTCCAGGGAGCAGAGGGAACATGGGGTTCCCAGATTGGGGGGGGTCGTCTACTCGTCTGTAGATGGCCCGAGGTATGTTGGGGCGCCAGGGACTTCCTTTCTACGGTATACCTGGTTCCCCGGCTATTAGTACCCGAGACGGCGTGCGGTTTTAGTCGGTTCGAGTCCGACATGCCACCGAATGAATCGTTCATAACAATTGACCTTTATGACATGAATTGTAATTTAGAAATTTCTAACCGGCACCATTTCTGATCAACTTGTTTTGATTACTATAGAGATATAATATATAAATGCTGCAAAAGAAAAAGGGAATATATTTATTCGACTTAAGTTTTATAGAAGAGACAAAGATCTAAAAAAAGATAGTTAAATACAAGTGAAGCTAATATATAGCGTGTAAAAACTAGTTTATAAGTGTATTGTTTGTTTTTGTACCATTAAAGTAATCAAGAAGTTTATCGTTATCCGATAGTAATAACAATTATTCTCTAAAATAATCTAAATTAATTGCATAATATTTATTCATACTCGTATAATAGTTATCCATAAGGAAAATGATGGATCCAATTTTATTCTGAAACCACTAATGTAAAAACTAACAAGTTTTTTAAATTAACGTATGAAGTCTGAGTCTACCAATTCTTTACTTACATACTGTTACAGTTATGCAGTTGCTTAGCTCATTAGATATGTATCTAATAAGGTAAATGGGAATAATCGATATGCCAGTCACTTCAGCTTGACGTACAACATAAGACATTTTAGGACGGGAACGTAAAAGTAGCTAAGTTAATTTGCAATACAAGAACTAGAAAAGCATAGAGGTCTTTAAAAAAATAGTAAAAAAGAACACCTCGCAGGCCTTTAAAACACCGTTGCGTCATCTGACAAAAAGTATTCTTAGTGCGGCAACAGTGGCAACGCCAAAAATATATTAGAACTACTGAACTAGAAACTTCACAAAAACTGTCACTTGTCCCCTTTTGTTTTTGAAGCGTCGACATTTGACATTATGATATTTGAAATAATAAATACCGTAGGTTTCATTATATATAGTATATATTTTAGACTAGCTGAGACCCGCGGTGTTACCCGCATTTGTTGTTATAACCGCGGGCAACGCCGCGGGGCGAAGCTAGTCTAAAAATAGTAGCCTAAGTTACTCCTTATGTCATCAGCTATCTGCCAGTAAAAGTCCCGTCGAAATCGGTCCAGCCGTTCCAGAGCGGGTAATCTCTGGAACGGCGAACAAACAGACAGACAGACAGACAGACAAAAATTCAAAAAAATGTTATTTTGGCATATGTACCGTGTAAACATACATAATAATATGCATTTAGTAAAAAGCGGTTATTTTAATATTACAAACAGACACTCCAATTTTATTTAATTGTATAGATTGTATGTCTATATATATAAATATATATGTGTATGTGTATTTATATATGTATAGTGTGAATAGATGTATATTTGTGTATGAATGCTTTTGTTGATATTTTAAATATGTATGTAAACTTCCATAATTTTTAAATATCTAATATCCGTGTTAAGGTAGTCTGTAAGAGATCGCCGTGAGGATAAGACCGCCGATTGCTACGTCTACATATTTGTAACCATCCTTATGTATGTGTTGAGTGTATACAATAAAAATACAAATAAATAAATAATCAATAAAAATAGTTATCAAAATACAAAACCGGCACAAATAAAAAAGGTATCTAGCAAAAAAGTTAATTCGAAATGTGGACCATGAATACTCAGTTCCATTTCTGTATGATTCTTTAAAAAGTCGTCACATCTTTAATGTGTAAATAGTATTAGTTATGGAATATTGATCCAGTTCTGCTGCTACGAATAGGTTTGCCGCAACTTCCGTGAACAATCTTTGACTATGCAACGTGTTCTGTAATACTCCTATAATACCGTCACTTATCGACCACAATTCCGGAGAATTGTAAATCCAAGTTTACTAACAAAATACCTAATAGCCTAATGCAGCATACCTCGATTTAAGCGTAATATAGGTAAAAAATTATTAGTTTTTCCTACAGCTATGATGTTTTCGCCTTAATTATTTTGTCTGTTGCTTTGCTAAGGATAAAATTGTAATAAACTTTATTGAAACATGTATATTTAAATACCTTATTCAGATACCTTTTTAAATAACCTTTAGTGTTTTAGTTTTAACGCTGTAACCCGCGGGGCTCATCCCACGGTAAAAAAACATTTTTTGGGGATAAAAGTAGGGTATGCCTATCATCCAGGGTGTTAACTACCTTTATATCAAATTTTATCAAAATTTGTGAAGCCGTTAGAGGGTGTAAAATTGACAAAAAACACAGAAGTTCAAAACTTTCGCTTTTATATTATTAGTTTGATCAGGCTTTGTTTTTAATTACCTACATTGAATATTCAAATATTTATATATAATATAATAATAATATATTTTTTCACACATCTCACACACGGCCGTCTGTTCCCAAACTAGGCAGAGCCTGTATTATGGTAACCAAGCTGCTGATAAACATAATTATATATTTCTATATTTATGACACAGAACAAATGATCGTGATCATCACACCATTATTTGTCTTTGCTCTTAACATACATAAAAAAACTAGAAATTCCTTCAAAATTATTAAGTTTCCACATCGACACTGACACTTCATAAAGAAAACGCATATGGGAAGGATGAACGAAAAAATAAAACAACCATAAACCACAAGTCAGTATAAGCGCAATCGTGTTTGTAGACAGGTAGTGTCAAAGAGGATCACAAACATTGCGTAACTCGCTAAAGCATTCGACAAAGTGCTAAAGCTAGAAGTTAACTTCCTATGAGCGGGCAGTTTGCAGACAGTAACGGTGAATGGAACAATTAGCGCGTGTACGCGAGTTATTCCCTGTAGGGCTGTGAGAATACAATTACAACTTTAAAATGAGTTTTAAAGAAAAAGTTAATAAAAGGCTGTAATTTTTTGTGAACTTCTTAATTGATATAAGATCTGATATAGAATGCCGATGTCATCTATTGCCATACCACTGTATAATACCATTTGCCACGACGAGGTGATGACTCGAGAAGAAATCGAATTGTCCTAACCTTTTCATCACAATTTATTGTGCATTTTTTCGAGGCATGTGTATTTTCCGTGTGGTGACGGATTAAGAATACGGAGTGTCAGCACACCTATTCATCCCGTGAGTGTCGTAAGAACCCACTAAGGGAGCAAACTGAGCATGAGAACAGATCTGCAAAGAAAAGGAGAACTTAAATCCGTTTGGTCAGCGTGGTATAATAGCCCAAAACAGCCTTTCTAAGGAGAGGCCTTTCAGCAGTGGATTACTAAAGGCTGTTAATGATGATAATTATGTAATTTTACGTGTGTATTGAAAATTGTTTCAAATTCAGAGTTAGATTTTTTAATTTTTAATTTTCTGTATGACTCTGAAACATTAACGAACTAATTACTTAACGAACTAAAATTGACGTGCAATTCATCGGAGCAGCCCTGAAGAACAGTAGCCAATTTTTTCGATTGTAAGCACCGATGGCTGAACAGAAATGCAAAGCAATGTAAAGGGAAATACATACTTCACATAATTTTGTTAAAATTCTAAGACTGGTAATATGTTAAAAGATAACACAATATTGGATAGATTTTTTCAATTGGGAGTTAGTAAATATGCTCATACCAAGATGGTATTAACACGATAATTATTAAAAGTACCCTTAAAATAACTAAATTACCTTTTATAATATTATTAGAGGACTTAATCACATGACAAACAAAGAAGAAAACAAAAGTGATAATATAAAATCATAACGTAGTTCGAGTTGTTCGTATTCGAGGCAGTCTTGAGACGAGCCTTATGCACCACTTTAGCGATAGTGACGTCACAAGTTATCGATCAAGTGACAACGGCCGATGTAGATAGAGATCCTCAATGTTTATAAAACAAAATATCTCGCACTTAAAACACCGGTAGGTTTACAACAACATACAGCCGATGATGGACAATACCCGAGAATGTAAACAACCTAACTTCATGGAAATGAGTGAGCGAATGAACGCGAGGACTGATATTACGAGCTCCCGAATACTTCGGAACATCTTCATTGAATGATTTTGAACAGGATACGATTGGGTATTTGCGTACACAGGTACAGCCCACACGTCCCATGATCCGCCTAAAATTTCTGTAAACCAGATGCCTATTGGTAATCGTTCATTCGCCTTTTCTACGTAGCTCTTACAAAACTCTATTATTTTTGCACTTAAGATACCTACTTATGATGTTGTTGAGATTTATATCTCTAACATTTAACACACAAATGACACAAAATTATGCCAAGCAAAGTTCGACTGAAATGTGTGATTGAAAGATATTGTGGCACAAGATAAAGTGAGTCATG